TCTCGGGAATTTGGGGGGAGATCCCTTTTACGATAGTCCTTGTTTCTGGGCCTCTCCACCGCGCCTCCTCTCTTTGGCATTCTTTGTCTGAGGGCCAGGCATGACAAGATTTGTCAAACATTTTCCAACTACTGGTTTTGACATAGGGGATGCAATTTCCTCTATAGAATCGCGGGGGTTGGGTCCCCGATAAGACCATTTTTTTAGCAACTTTTTCTTGGCTCATATGGAGCTTGTAAAGTCATGTCCTTCAAGAGCCTCGATTTTATAGAGAATTGTTGTTTTTTACAAGCTTGATTCTATAGAGGCTTGTAAGTATAGTGAAGGGATTTTGGATGTCTTGGGCATACCGATTCTATAGAGAATGATTTGTATGATTTTGGATGTCATGACCTGCAATTCTATAGAGATTGCTTTTTCTTGGCTTGATTCCAATTGGGATTGCTCAAAAGAACCCTGGGGAATGGAAAACAATTTGCAGGCATTTGCAGCCTCTGGACGGCTTGGGATGACTTGGGAAAGGGGAGAAGTGGATGATTTGGGGACAGCAATTGGGCACATCTGGACACTATAAAATCAGAGATCATCACAGATCCTTACCTCTCCAATCCTCTCCATAACACCTGCGGTCTTCTCTATAGATTTGTGGTCCTACAACTGGCAAATCAATACCTTCCAATGAAATTGGAATTTCATGTTTTGTTGAGACCCATGGACCTTGATTCTATACAGAAACATGTTTTTAATAGATATTTTTGAGACCCATGGCCCTTGATTCTACAGAGAACCAGGTTCAGACTACAACTCGACAACACCTGTTCGGGAGTACCTTGGGACCTGCAGTTTTATAGACAAAAACCCTCAATATTCACAACTTTCAACAGCTTTTGACAGACTAAGTGCCCTCAATTCTATAGAGCTGAATCTTTGTATTTGGGCTCTTTTCCTATGTTATCCTCAATTTTATAGGGTCAAAAAGTGACCCTCATTGGAGGGGGGTTGGTCCCAGCATTTTAGCACTATAAAATCGCACCCCCCGAGGTACCCACTTAATACCAACCCCGATGTATTGACTAATATTACTCAGGGTGGCGCCCATGTACTGAGGCATCGGCACACCCCCAGAGAATGCGGACCTGGCGGCCTTCTATGTCTTGCTCGGAAGCCAAGACATGATGTTGGATTCCGATTGATATGGAAAGTCTCAGTAACATCAGTTCATCACTTCTTCAATTGATTTTAGAGGCAGGTCTCTTTTCACGATTTTCATCATAAGTTCCCAGTTTGACATTATTTGGCGTGAGCCTTTTTGCTGCAGAAGATGCTTGCATGGCACTGGAGCTGACCAGAAGGAACAGCGTGGAAGAAAGCATTTTGCCTTGCCAAGGTCTGTGCAGGCAGGTGGTGGGCGTGTTGTGGCGATTGGGCTTAGGAACTGTTCCCAGGATGTGGGAGAAGAGGTTGGTGGGTTGCAGCAGCCCAGCACTTTGAAAGCTGAGGCGAGATCAATAGTTCGTCAGCGATAAGACAGAAGATCTTCGCCAATCTTGGCCTTTCTTGGTCAAAACTTCTGAGTGTGGAAGGTAGGTTTAAATGGTACTGTCATGTATTTACAGCAAGCCCCGCTCAATTGCCTCCAACAGCTCCAACACATGATTCCCGGAGGACTTTCTCTCTTTTTTGTGCCTTGATCCGGCGCCTGATCAACTCTTGCAACATGGCCATTTTGGTCTTGACCGCGAAGGACTGCACAACACCTGCAGAATCCAGGGGATGCAGAGAAAATCCCATTGTCAATAGGAGATAAGCATTTTCCGATGCAGCACTGGCAAATCTCGAAGCTGACGAAGGCAAAGGTTTCCGACCTCAGAACTATCCTTTGAACTTTGAACGCTCAAATCCCAGAACCAGAACCAGCTGGCCTTCTAGATAAGCTTGAGGAGTATCTCCATAGCATGTTCAATCCCTGAGTTCAAGACATTACTACCCTGTGAGTTCAAGACATTACAGAACCGGAACCGCAAACATTGGCACTGCCGCAGTGTTTGTATCCGACGAAGACATCGGCAAGACCTCGTGCCGAACCGGCCTGAGGTCCAGGCTGACGACGCGAACAACGAACCAATGAAGAAACCCAACCGAATCCAAGACAGGACAATCCCATCCAGAGAACCAAACAGAAGACAATAGCCATGATCTGTACTTGACTGGTTTGCCGAGCAGCTTCCCACAGGCATTTCAAAATCATCCAGGAGTATTTGCTAATATCTGCTATACTTGAGGTAAATTTCACACATCGGTGTATCTCTTTTTTTTGCATGCAGTTACAGTACGTAGAGAGAGAGAGAGAGAGAGAGAGAGGGGGGGAGGGAGGGAGGGAGAGAGAGAGAGAGAGACACACAGGGTGTATTCCCACCAATGGTAGCATAGCGTAGTGTTTCTTCTTTCTCCCAAACACCCCCCAAAAAAAGCCATGCGTTGCAAAGTTCTCCAAGGACTTTTTAACGATCCTGCTGTTGCTCTTGCCGGATTCCTTCCCGCGAAATCAGTCACAGGTCTACTGCGCAGTCGGAGACATCCAGAAGGCGGGATGGGGTCCCTTTTGGGAGTTCTCGTTGACTTCCGTGTTTTTGAGATCCAGCGAAGCACTCCGGACTTCGGAATCCAGCGAAGTAGTGGCATATGGCTCGACATGCCCGGTTCTCGGATGCCCGCAGTCCGCCGTGAATTCATAGGACAAATGAGGCCCTCCGGATCAAATCTCGGGGAGTGTGGGTAACAATCATTTGTTAAAGGATCCGCAACTCCTTCAGCCCTTCGGCAGTGTTTTGAAGGTGCCTTCTTGTTTTTCTCCCGTCCACGGTCGATCTTTGCCCAGCTGCTGGCCCCGTGTCCAGGCACTATCCACCTTTAAGAGAAGCATCAAGGGCCAGGCTCACAAGTGGGCCCCTGGGATTGGGAATGATGAGCAGAGGTGATGTGTCACTGAAGCGGCATTGATGGTCAGTACTCAGTACTGGACTGTAATGCTTGGACTGGCCTCCTAAAAAGCCTGTGTAGCCTCCATTAATCCGTCACGTTTGGGCTCAAAAGCAGGATCAAGGCTAGCTTTGGCAGTCGTGAACACTGCTTCGAGCCGGCAGCGATGATCTATGATATCAACAGCCCCCTCTTCAAGCAGTTTTTGTCAGAGAAGGTCATGCGCAAGACCGCGGCCAAGGACAAGGCGACGGGTGCAGTGAAGGGTGCGGCTGCTGGCAAGGACCGAGCCATGGCACACCCAGCCTCAGTGGGCTGTTAGTGGTTGGCTTCTTCGTCGAGTCTTGCCGAGGATAAAGCACATGGGCAGATGTGGCTGTCTTTCTTGGCTCTATGTAGGACCGCCTTCTAATGCCTCAGGTAGCTACGGAGTCACGCGTCCAGTCAGCTCAGCTTCGAACTGAGTGGGCAAACCATAAGAGTTTGACAGACATCGCATGGCATGGAGACAAACAATTTGGATCGCGTGTTTGCTGTGGTGCCACTTGATGGGTTAGGAAACATTTTTGATGTGCACTGCTGCAGAACAGGAGTTGACAAACCCTCTTGGCTCAGATCGTAAGTGGTAGCTTTGGGGTCTGGCAGATTCTGCCAGGTTTGGGGGGGGATAGATACAACCGCAACTGTCACAAGCTTCTCTCACCTTCCGCACATCGCACCCTTCGGCGGTGCCTCACTTCGCGGTCCCTGCCAGGAATTTCGTGATGCTCTCACGTTGCTGGCCCTGTTGGTCGAAGACCTGCGAGCGGCCCGGCACCCCGAGCGGACCGTGGGGCCCGGAGCCGGTCACGGGAGCGATTCGCGGGTTGGCACGCACCAGGCGTCGACGACCCCAATGAATGCCCGGAGGTGAAGCCGCATGATTGGCATTGTGCGTGCCCTTGAGGCCCTGACAATGATTGGGCATTTGGCCCCATCACTCCAACTGTCGTGCTCAACTGTCGTGCTTCGTGGGCGAAGCACGACAAAGAGTCCCGGTTTTGGCTCACACAGCTCACCATCCAACACCCAAAACTATCCAAACATGTGCGATGTTTCTCCACGCGTGAAGATGGCCATGTGACCAGGTCAAGGCCTTTCACCCAGTGCGAGACGCCGTGAAGGCACTGAGCGCCAAAGAGCAGGAGAGAGCGCCAATGGGTCATGTTTGCGGATGGGATGACCTGGAAGTAACAATGGGACTGTCCTGCTGGGCATGGTGACACGTTACATAGCAGTTAGATTCAGGCCTTCAGCACAGTGACGTTCAACGCGCCCAGCGACCTTGACCTATCTAGTGGTTTTGAGTCTTCTGAGCAGGTTCCGTGGTAGATGTGGTAGAGCATCAAAGATTGGTTGCTACATCACCATACCCATCCAAGTCAAACTGCAACCACCACTGATTTCGTGGCACCCTGCTTGATATGGGCTCCTGATATCGTGTGGGTCAAGATTTCGGCCTCAAAACACGAACAAAAACACGATGCCCGTAAATTCCACGGATATCAATGGAAAACATGCCGCCTCGCTCGATGCGGATCACTGTTTTCTTGTGGTGGTGGAGGGCAACCACGACATCCAAGTGTGCTTACTCCACCAAGTCCAGTCAGGTGCACTGATGGATGAGTCCTCCCGCATAGTCGGCCGCTCACAGGAGATGGAGCTGGGCATCCTTGAGCATTACGTGGCCGCAAAGGACGTCACCACCTTTGGAATATCTTGACCAGGGGATGCGTGGATGGCCTGTGACCAGGTTCCAGGAAGATTAATTGTATGCCGTATGAATGACTGGACAGAATCTGCTGATTTCCTCCCTCGACAGGGTTTTTCAACAGGTCTTATGGGTTCTTATAATTTCTTGTATAATAATTGTTTTAATGTTTGGTTTCGGGAGGATTGATGGACGTGAGTCCCACGTGTGACGCCCCTTGCACCATTTTCGTTGTTTTGCGCCTCCTTCTCAGTGGGTGCGTGCATCCAAAAACCTTGATTTTCATCAGGGTCTTCGTCCTCTAGGCATCCATATGTTCTCCGCGGCCTTTTGGATCATGCAGGGCGGGGCGGCTTGTGCGCAGCCTTGTAACCCTGGTGCTTGAAACCAGGCACCACCTCGGGCCTCAGAGTGAACTCGAAGATGGAGGAGGTCCCAGATTGTCATATATCTGTGTTTTGTCTGCAAGCCAGTGAAGACCAAAGAGGGTTACGAGCATGGTGTTACATAGTTGCTTTTCGAGCCAAACATGGAGCCCAAGGTAGCGGTGCGGTTGCGGCCAACACAGGGCCCTGTGGCGTGGGAGAGCTCACAGAAGTTCTTGGTGGACAGGCAAGGTGCCGTAGTGCCAAGCTTTTTTACCCGTCAAGTTCCTAAGTGGATCTAAATTTAATTTGCAAACCATGTCCAGCTTAATTTCCAGGAGTCCTGAGTCCTGAATGAATGGATAAGGATCGCCACCCCTACTAGAGTCACTAAATAGAGCACTTGTATAATCACCCTTGACCTCCATGTGAGTCAAAACGCCAGGACAAAATAGGCGAACCCCCAGTTGCCAGAATACTATATATACATTAAAACTATGATATAGATTATGTATATTCAAGCTCTTCTTTTTAGGGCTGAATGAATGCATGGGATGACAGTTCTTTGGGCAAGCCCTCCAAGCAGCTAACACCTACCAGGCTACAAACCAACGCCTCACAGAGTGAGTGCAAGAACATGCTAGACCTGCCCCAACGGTAACTCCATCACCACAAGTGTTTGCCGCTTGCATCTGGGGAAGAACCCTATTCAAAGCAGTCTGGGAATTCTTCGACAGCTTCCATGGCCTGCCCCGGCGTCATTGCCATCTAAAAGTGACTTGGGCAATTAGTTGGATTGAGTTAGCAATTTCCTTTATGTTAGCCACAGGACTGTCCCTCCCGATCCGTCTTCCGGGAATAGGCCGCGCAGTTCTGCATCTTCTGACTCAAGCAACATCCAGTTGCTTCCAACCCACTGTGGGCGGTGCGATAGCGGTTACAGGCGAACACTATAATATAGTGCCAACACTTCAAACTTTGAGTCGCCAAGCGCTAGATCCAACTTACGGAATCCAATCGCCGTAGTCTTCTAGCCCTCGGGTTTGGTGTTAAGCACTAACCTAAGGACCTGCATGCCCTAACTAACCTCCCCAATATCGTGGAAACTATGCATGCCCTAACTAGCCTACATCAATGATCTCTGCGATCCGCCTTTTCACTCCAACCCGACCATTTCACCTGATCCAAGTGCCGATGTTTGACCATGAAGCGAAGATGAATATATAAATTTCCGTTCAACAATGTTGAAACAGAGATGCGGTTTGAGTGATGAAATTCGTCGATTTGGACAGTGAACCGTGATTTTTCTGGGGTGCCCATTCCTAAAGGGCCCTTTTAGGTATGCCGTTTGTGTAAATGAGTTGCCGCTTTTACTTTGCGAGATACCGCGTGGTTAATTCACCGCTAGTTTCTTTCCGTTTTGTTAGTCAACAATGCGACTACCCCACTCTTACCACACTCGCCCAGAGGGCAAGGGATGCTTAAGAAGCGCTGAACATGCGGCACAAGACCGATGCCCCCGCCCCCGCAGTTGAAGAGCTCCCACACCTTTTCCCGTAGCTGATGATTTCGCCTGACCTTGGGTGAACCGATCACACTCACATCCAACTGGAGGCTTGTTTCCTCCCATTTCTGAGAAAACCAGAAACACGGCTGCGTCGCCCGCCAGGGTCGTTGACAGACCTCCCAAATTTCGTTGGTGGTCTGTGACCGTTTGCCGTTTGGCCTCCCGTCGCAGGTCGGGCGAGCGCTGGCACTTTGATCAGGTCTTTGGGCCCAGAGCGTCCACCTGGGACCTCTACGAGACCTCGGTGCACCGGCCCAGCCCGTGGAGCCAGCCGGCTCGGTTTTGGTCTTGAGCCCATGACAGACATAGACCAGCATTATGTTTGTGGTTGTTGAGCTGTTACCTGTTTCTCTCCTCAATTCGTTCTTACATCTGGTGCATTCTTGTGCTTGACGGGGCGTTGATGTTGCCTCAGAATGCAGCTGTAGGAACAGGACGGTCTCCCCACATGTGCCAGAAGGGTTTTCTTTCTCTTCTCGTGATGCCGGGTCGCTACGGCATAGAGGTGCAGCATGTGATCGATGCCTTCTGTGATGGTGCCACCTGCACAATCTTTGCTTGCGGCCCGAGGGTCTGCAGCTCAGGTGGGCGATGGGAGACAAAACCTTGGAGTTGAGAGGTTCCTCCATAGGATCCCTCCTAGTTGGTTGGGACAATTGGAGCACTTCACTGAGGGGAATCGGTATGACAGGATATACAGTATATTTAGTTAATTTATGTAGTTCTTCCAATTGTGTGGCAGGCCCAACTTGGGCGAGGCCGCACAGGTTTTGGGCGAGTCAGCGACGGTCCAACGGTCCATGCCGCCCAGAGCCGCTTTGGGCCGGGGGCGCTCCAAGGCTTCTGGGAAGACCTTCACCATGCAGGCGAGGTTTTGATGGTTCGAGGCTCCTTTTCAATTGAAATCATCCCCCTCGTTTCTTGCCAGACCCTTTTCCAGCAAGACCCTCATCTCATTTCATTCGTGGATTCCATGGCGTTCCAGAAAAATTGCAGGACAACTGGGAAGACCAGCACATTGTGGTGTGTGGTTCGTTTTTGCTTTCATTTGATCATCTCCAGCCATAGGGTGGGGCAGGGTCCATCTTCCTGAAATAGTCGAACAAGCGGAGAGTAGAGAGCCTTTTGCCACCCACACTCTCCCTCTTTCTTGTTTCTGCAAAATCTTTTTGATTGAAATGCTCTTGGCGAGGGCGGGGACGGCCCCGGGCTGGTGCAACTGGCTGCAACGCACATCTGGGAGAGGGCGCCACAGTGACTTGGCCTGTGGGGGGGGCTGGCAATGGGAGGACTGTACAGAGTTGGTGCATTTCTGGCGAGTGTTTGCAATCCGCACGCATCCAGCTTCAGTTTCGGTCAGTTTGAGCGAGCCAATTCCTCACCCATGAAGGTAGCTTTTTTATGCTGTTTTGCAACGCACAGTTAATTCCAGGTGAGGGGCCGTGAGTAGTGCAGTTCGACGTCTTCGTTTGGTTTTGCACTTGCAATATTCTGAGTTTTTATGAGAATCGATGTCGAATTGATGCTCACAACATTTATGGTGTCAGTTTTTGAAATGCATTTCTCCATGAGATGGTCATATTTGCGCTGCCTTGTTATGCTGCTAGTCACTCTATTCTTTTTGGTGTTATTTTTTCATTCCTGTTCCACATAGAAATATACAATTGTCTTTGCAACATATGTATATATAAATATATTATATATATATATATACACATTATGTATTGTGCCCGTCAACTGAATATGTCCTCGTTAGTACCTCGCTTGATTGCACAGAATATTTTATGCTTGCCGGTTGGCAATCCAAGGTGACCATTCAGCGATACTGAGAAATTGTTGCCACCAAAGCAAGAAGGACCAAAAAGGACAAACCACTGACATACCAAATGGCAGCAAATCTGGAAATGACAAACACATACGGCAAACACATGCAAAAGAATGACAACGTCATGTGAACTAGTTAAATTAACATCGAAATTTCCAACCTGTCCACGGAAAATTCGGAAAGATGCTTACAAGCTTACAACAACAGTTATCTTGATCCAACTCTGTTGACTTGGGCGTCAGGTCATGCAAACACTTGCATTGCCCATTTCCTCCCGAATCTGTATCTGTAGATTCCCGCACGCCTATGCTAAATCCAGAGGGTCAGTTTCGGCAGTCACATGTGCATTGTTGCTTCTTCACCCGAAAAAGGCAACTGCTGCAAGTGTCGTACCTGGAGAAGCCTGGCGGGCGAGTGGGGGTCAGTGGATGACGGGCACTTTGGGTGCAGGCCCATTATGGGGAACCTACAGGCATGTGGTCATGGTGATTTCCACAAAGGCCTTTTTTGGTATACAGATTGATCGCGACCCTGAAAGTATCTTGTATTCTTTTGGGTTGAGTCTAAGTAGGCGGCCTTTGTCTCAAAGAGGAGGTCAGTATGCTGTATGCCTTTATGCGCAACTCCAAACCAATCAGGTCCAGTTCCTTTTCCTCCCTATATGCAGGTTCATGGTCATGTCCGTCCCACTGGCGTCCCTATACGCCTCATCCGTCCCCGACGCCGTGACGTCCTGACGCCATGCACGCCACGCTGAGGGTCACCGACTCCGTGAGGGACTTGCTGAGTGGGGCACAGCTCACCAGGCCCTGGCAGGACGGCAGCGCACCTGCGGGATGATGCGGGATGAACCCCCCACTGCCAGACGCCAATTTGAGCGGTCAAGGTCAAATGTGAAAGTCGCTCACCCTCGTGACGGAATGACTCAAACAGTATAAACACATATAAAGACGGGTCAAATCCGACGAATCCCAAGTGAGTTGGAATGTTCTTTGGATTCGCCACATCCAATGCTAGGTTGTTCAGGCTATTTTTGGTGTCACTGCATCTAACATATCCAGCGATTGTTGTTTCTCCCCTCGACGTGTTTGCAAACGGCTCATTTTGTGGGGCTGCATGACGGGAGGAACGCGCAATAGGCAATAGCTATGCCATTGATCGATGCACTGCCCCTGCCAAGCCTGCGCCAGGGACATGAGAGCTCTTTTGGCCTCTAGTTTACCGGGCGGGAGTTGCGCCGCTTTTTCTGGCCATGGATCAGTTGAAGAAATTCAACCAGTGGTTGAAGGAGCACTCGACCACCAAAAAAGCTGAGGAGAAGAAGCCTGAGGAAGAGCCTGTGCTTGAGGAAGAGGAGCAGGAAGAAGAGATCGGCAATTTATTGCAACAGTATGGCATTCTCTTGGAGTATGAACGCATGCAGGATTTGCTTCCTTCTGGGATGTATGTTTTGCCCTGCTTCGACTCAGTGCTAACGTGGCAAGGGGCTTTGTTCGTTCGTCAGGGCCTTTACAAAGGAGCTGTTTTCAAGTTTCGCCTGGTCCTACCGGAGGAATACCCAGAGCAGGCACCAGATCTCTTCTTTACATCTGATGTCTTCCACCCCATGGTTGACCCACAGACTGGTCAAGTGGAGCTAGTTTCCCTGTTTCCCGAGTGGCAACCTGGACGAGACTTTGCAGCCTTTGCCTTGCCTCATTTACATCGAGCCTTCCTTCGAAGAGAGTACTTTGCCAACACTGCCCGCCCAGCCCTAAACCCTGAAGCAAGACAGCTCTTCATCTCTGACCCAGCAGCTTTCGCGGAGAGAGCCAGGCTTTGTGCCAACAATAGCTTGGATCATGTCTTTGACAACCCGTCGGGGTCCACCTTGCAGTTCACAAAGGGCCCGGCTGAGGCACACGATGCTATCCTGGAACACCTGAAAGCTGAGGCCACTGCTCCATTGGAGGAGCGCAAAAATACTTTCATTGACTGGTTTTGTGACCACTATGCTCAAAAGCGAACTAGGGTTGGTGTTGCTCAAGGAGAAGCTGAGGCCGAAACCATCCTTCTTGATGCCAAGGGGCAACAAGTAGGCAAGGCCGGTTACCCAAAGCCTTCAGCGCCCAAAGCGGCGCCATCCATCCTCTCGCGGAGCAGCATCTTGAACCAATCAGCAACGAGCTCTGCATCTGCTCATGACAAGGAAGAAGTCTTTTAGGCAACAGCCACACTGGGATTGCAGATGCGAGGAAGATTGTCGGGCATGGTCACTTCCCCTGCTGTAGGCGCGGGAACAAAAGAGTGTTGGGCTTTGCGATTGGCACCTCCTATCACGAAAGTATAATGATGCGCACCGAAGTCCTGCACAATTTATATAGGTACGTTGACGCCACGCCCAAAACATTAGAAGGTAGTACTCTTCTCGTTGTCCAACATCATCCCTTTGTCCATACCTCCCATGTCGCATGGAGCTTGGTTTTCCCTTGGTTCCTTTGCACCCAACGGTGTATATACCTTTCCCGGAGGTTCCTGTGCCTTCATCTATTTCCAGGAGATGACGCGCAAAGCCGTACGCAGTGGGCCCGAAGAGATCTTGCGCTGTCTCCTGGAAGGCGCACGGCGCGTGCGCCTTCGGCGCGTACGCCGAGTTCCAGGCCCACTTAGACAGACACGGGCGTGTTGCGGTCCTCCAAAAGAAGAAGACAGACAGACTCCTTTCTAGGCATTACTAGAGGGAGGTGTGGTGTTTTTTGAGGAATGTTCTGCTCGAGCTCATTCATTTGACTGTGTTAGTTGGCTCAAGCTAAGCCGCAAGTTGGGCAGAGTTCAAGCACGGTAGGAAGAGACATATTTTATCATATTTTACCGACCCTTACTTCACAGTTATCGTCTCAAACAAGCGGCGCGAAGCAGTGCTAAGCAGTGCCAACAGACCAGGGTGCGTTGGCCAATCATTCCCCACTAAGGGAAGGGCAGGTATGCTCTATTGGCTATGACGCATCCATGCGTCGGACCAGGGTTCAATCCCTGGATGCAACACGGACCGGTGTACAGGTGGGGCCACTACCCCACCCCTGCAGTTAAGGGGATGAGCTAGGGTGTGGACCAAAGGCATCGAAACTACCCGAGTTCACTTCTTGTGGCCCTGAGACCATTACATAACACATGATCAAGGATGATGATAAGGAAAGACTATTATAAAATGATATATATATATATGTGTTATGATATATTATACAAGCACATGCAGTAGTCACTAAGGCACAACTAACAGAGGCTTGTTTACCTTGTTTGATTGTTTGGTGGTGTTGTTTTGCATCAACGTGATTGGGCCCCTGCAGGGGGATCAGGGAATCGCTGAGCCCCAGGGAATCGCTGCCGCCGGCGAGATGCTCCAAGCTCCAGGCAAGGATCGCAGAAGTTGGCACAGAGCTGCATCCTCCGGACGGGCCGAAAGCCATCCGGCTTGTCATCCACTTTGGTCTTGCTAAAGATGTGATCTTGTTCGGTTGCCATCATTGTTCAAAGTGCCAATCCAATGGTAGTAATTACTGTATATGCATTCTTCACACACACAGAGAGTGCATCCGGGTTCGCTTCTTCGAGTATCAGCGTAGTGCTGCTATGATGGCAGAACATCACCAAAAGCCGTGCCACCCTATGTACCACTTTCTTGCCCTCTTGTTTTTTAATTCTCATGTCTTCTTATTTTATTTTCTCTATCTTTTTTCCCTTCTGTGCAGCTCCACAGAAGCAAGATTCCACTATGGTTGCAGGCATATTGGCCCAAGACTGCTGATTTTCTGAATGATTCTCGGATGAGCCCTCATTACTGTGCCAAATGCCAGCCATGGTGGCCCGCCGTGCGCTCACCGTCCTTTCCTTGCTAAACCTCAGGAGAACAATTCCAATCCGGGGGTGGGGCCTGGCTGGCCAATTGGCGACGTCTTGTGGGGGGCAACACCCCCAAAAGTCATTTGCTAGAAAGTATCTACTGCAGCCATTTAGAATTAAAGATATTTAAATGATATTAAAGGGTATTGCAGTGTTGGAGGGATGGTTTTTGGTCTCAGCCCATTTGAAGCGGCTGGGCTTCCACAGATGTCACCCTTGGAGGACTTCATGCTCAAGACTATTCCATCCGTTTCTGCAGCTACCACGACCCCTGCAATTCAGTATGCATGTCCATAGTGACCGCAATAGTAGTACAGTGTATAATATATATATACGCATTCCCCGTTCTCTCTCTCTCTCATATATATATATATGAGTGTATGTATATATATGTATATCGCATCGGGAGTGGCTTTGGAGTTGTCAGCCATTCAGTCACTGCCCATTTTGCCTTAGATGTTGCAGAAACCAAAAGTTCGGCGATTGTCACGAAAGGTAGCGGTTACGCTACCTCTGAGTTGTCTTTGCTTTAGCAAAAATGTATTGGGGGTGGTGAAGTGCTCCGACTCATGATTTCGTTTAAGAGTTGGTTTTAAATGTCGGGGGGGGGGGGGAAATGATAAAAACAACAATTCAAAGAAGTTTTGAAAATAACATGAAACAGACTAAAAACAGATTTTTAATATGGTTGATTGTTTCATTTTACCATCAACCATTTCAAAATCATCACTACCAACCATATCATTACCTCATTCATTTTCACAAAATCATCACAGCAAACCATATCATCACCTCATTCATTTTCACAAATCATCACAGCAAACCATTATTTAAATTCCTTTGATGCTTATTTGTTTAATATGTCTGGAGAAATAGTGTTGCCTCATTGAACAATTACAAACAGAACAGATAATGGTTTTTAGATCAAAATTGTGTTTTTGTTCCAGTTTCTTTTTTCTATATTCTTCATCTTCTTCATATCTTTTTCTTTGCGCTTCATTGTATCTATCTTTGTTATTGTAATGGTAATTTTTGTTGTAGTCTATACATTTCTTACAACATATATTACCTTCATAAAATTCATTATTGATGCTTTTAGTATTTTCACATTTCTGGCAATATTGCTCTTCCATCATTTCTCATCATATAACAATCTTTCTCTTTAAAAACTATTTTTCACATAACCAACATAAAACACTTCTCAGGAAAAACAAAACAATAGACCATAATAAAGACAAATTCTAAGAACAAAACATATAATTCACATAAAAACTACTTAAAGATTAAATGACTTAATGACATATATAGAGTATTATATGATGAAAACAGTTATAGATTATCTATTAAATAATGTTTAGCAGAAATACCTAAGAGAGGAAGAAAAGAATTAAAGCAACTAATCATAGATGGTAGGAACTTTAGATACAATAAAGCAAAAGACATATCAAATGTTTTAAATCAAACACTTAAATCAATCAGACATACAAACGAGTTTTGGAGTTATGCCTTAAACAAAGCAAAAGATGCTTACACCCTTGGACGAGCAAAAGTATTACTAACCAGAAGGGCAATAAGAAATAAATTCAGAGTAAATGATGTCCAGTCAGCATTTAGAAACTATGCCAATTCCATAAAACTTGAAAATAAGCACTTTCAAGGTGAGCGAGGATTGGAAATGATTGCTCATCAAGCATCACGATTAAGAGACTTCTTAAAAAATAATAGAAATATGAAACTTAACATCAGAACGGACGGTTTAATTTAAAGACGATTTAGAATGCACACAGTCCAATTTAGTATTTAAAAAGAATGTTTCAATAACCATTCATTTTGATAAGTATGACCCTACGAACTACCAGAATGGATTAAACTTAAAAAGGCGTGTATCAACATTTAAAAAAAAGACCAAACATGTTTCAAATACTGTATTCAATGTATAGTCTTTGATCAAATCAGTAAACATCATCCAGAAGAGATGTTCCACTATAGCAAGTTAAATGACTATTTTGAATTGGGAAGGTGTTAAATTTCCTACAGGGAATAGGGACATAGACCGGTTTGAAGAAAACAATAAGCAAGTTTCAATAAATGTTTTTGAACCTGATGACTGCTTGAAGGACAACAAAATAACTTTACATAGAGGAACTAAAAACAAAAATGCTAAATATGAAATTGATTAGTTAAAGACTTTTGATGATGACAATAATTATCATTATGCCATAGCAAAAAATAAGAGTAGATTACTAAACTGTCAAAGCAACAAGGATGATAGTAGGAAACATTATTGTCATCATTGCTTAAATCCATTCTCAACCGGAAAGGCCTATAATAAGCATTTGGAAAAAGGTTGTATGGCATCAGAAGGACAGCAAACCAAAATGCCTGATAAAGGTAGTTATATTGAATTTGAAAAACATAACACTAAATTACCGTGTCCTTTTGTAATCTATGGAGATTTTGAATGTCTAACCACTAATTCCAACAATGGTATAAAAGGCACATATCAGGAACATAAACCGTGCGGTTATATGTTGAATGTAGTAAGCAGGATTGATAATACATGCCAACCATACTTATACAGAGATGAGGATTGATGAAAAAGTTTGTAGAACAACTGACTGAAATTAAGAAAGATATAATTGAAAAGATGAATGTTAATAAACCAATGGAAATTACATACGAACCAGAATTAGAGTGTAGAAAAGCAACTCACTGCTCAATATGTAATAAGAAATTCCAACCTGATGATGAGAAAGTCCGCGACCACTGCCACTTCACAGGTAAATACAGAGGCGCAGCGCATGTAAAATGTAATTTAGGTTATTCAAGCTTTTTAAACTCCCAATATTTTTTTCATAGCCTAAAAAACTATGATGCTCACTTAGTCATTGCTACAGCAAATGAATTGAACATAGAATTGAATGAACACAAAAGGATAGATATAATAGCACAAAACAGTGAAAAGTTTATAACCTTTTCATTTGGTGCTTGTCAGTTTAAGGACAGTTTGGCTTTTCTATCAGCATCACTGGACAAATTAGTCAGACTAAATAAATATGAAGGAAATGAACAAGTAAAAGAATGGGAAAACCACTTCAGATACACAAAAACAAATCCATATATCAAGTCTAAAACTGATTTAAACTTACTAACTGATAAAGGAATATACCCATACGACTATATGAATTCCTTTGATAAATTTGATGAAGAACAACTATCAAGTAAGGAACACTTCTATAGTCAGTTGTATGAAGAACATACCACTGATAGAGATTATGATAGGGCAACTGTTGTATGGAAACACTTTAATATAACAAACCTTGGTGAATACCATGATTTGTATTTGATGACCGATGTTTCTTTGCTGACTGATGTTTTTGAAAACTTCAGGGATATGTGCTTAAACTATTATGGTTTAGACCCAGCATATCATATAACTTTGCCTAATTATTCTTGGAATGCCTTTTTATCACTAACAGGAGTTAGACCTCAACAAATCCACATCAAAGAAATGTATGAGATGATTGAAAACGGACTGAGAGGGGGGATGACACAATGCTCATGCAAAAAAGTAGAAGCAAACAACAAATATATGAATGAAGACTTTGATACACCTAAACCATCAAGTTATATAAGTTATTTGGATGCTAATAACTTGTATGGTTTAGCAATGTGTAAGAAATTTCCTTATGATAATTTCAACTGGCACTACAACAAAATTGATGAAAAGAAAATATTGAATTACACCGATGATGATGAACTAGGTTATATTATGGAAGTTGATTTAGAATATCCAAAAGAAATTCACGACTTCCACAAGGACTACCCATTAGCACCTGAAATTATGAATATTAATGAGAATATGCTTTCTCAAGTTCAAAGGATATTCATAAATACAATTATGGAAAAGAAGCAACTGACGAGACAACAAACAAATTAGTATTAAATGTTATGGATAAAAAGAAATATGTATTACACATATCCGCCTTCAAATCAGCCACGTGGAGTGGCAGATCCAAGTTGCTTCATCGTGAAGCACACACAGCACACGTGCCCGGCCCCAATGCCCCCAATGCCGGTGTCTGCCAGGACCGCCTCAGCCGAGACTTGTGAGACCAGCTTGTTACAGGCGACCCATCAAAACGAGCCGGACGGAGCCGGGGATGGAGCCCAACTGGCCTCACTCGTTGAAGATTCGGCGATCACCAATCTGATGCTTGCATGGAATCAGATGCTACTGCAATTCACTTTGGGTTCTTTGTGTTTGTTGGCCCGCATCCCAGCACTGACTACTGAGGATGGTCTCAAACCGCTCGTGCCAGAGGTTGGGGCCGCATTGGTCCAGCTATGCCACGTCGAAGCAGGCCCACCTGCACAGTAAGGCTGGCGTGGGCGGGCTTGGCAGCTCATGGTTGCAGCTCGGGGTGGAGCCTGCCGCAGGCTCCGCAGGCTCCATGGAGCGCTTCTTTTGCGTGGAAAGGAGTGAAAGGGCCGAGTTGGTGCGAAAGAAA